CCAGCCCAGCCCCACAGCCCCTGCCAGCCCAGCCAGTGTCCCCCAGTCTCATTCCCCCCAGCTCTGCCAGTGCCCTCCCAAGCCCAGACCCACAACCCCTGTGTCCACACCCCCTGCTTGGCCATTTCCCTTTGCTCCCACCCTGCTGCTCCGTGCTAACTTGGCCCACGGGCTCCCAGTTTTCCTTAGTGCTTCTCAGGGCTGACCCTGGCTCAGTCTGTCTACAGGCCCTGGGTCAAGGCTGCAGGGCCGGCCCACAACATTTTGGCACCTGAGGCAGGGAGCTCAAATGACACCCCCATGCCCCCTCGCTTGGGCCAAAACTTTGAAAGTTCTCTTTTGCCCTCCTTCCTCCCGCACAGCACTCCACCGTCTCTGTGCGTCTAGAGCAGAGAGAATACATATTCACCAGCAGCAGACACAATTTTCTACAGTCTGGGTCCTAGTGGTGCCCGCCCCCCTTCTGGCTTCCGTTCACCTCGTGGTAGGGCTGGCCTTGCAAGGCTTGGCCAAAGCATCTGCAGTTCACTCAGTGCTAGAAGAGGTGCTAGGGCTTTGTATCCCCTTCTCCAGGCACTCGTCTGGGACCAGCAGAGAACCCAAAGCCCTAGAGGGGCCAGATAGAACCCATGAGTCCTGGCTTCCAGTTTCCCCCTTACTCTAACCCGCTGGACCCCTCTCCCCTCCGGGAGCAATCTCAGATGGTGAACAAGGACCAGTTTAAGTCAGGCATGCAAACAGGGCCCATATACAGTAAAACCTGTGTTATCCGGCACGCTTGGGGATTAGAGTATTCCGATTATCTAAAAATTCCGGTTAGCTGAGGGTCCCAATAACCTAGGAAAAACCAATGGACACCAGGGCCGTGTCCAGACTCAGGGGTTTTTTCGGGAAAAGTGTCCTTTTCCCGAAAAAACTTCCCCTGCGTCCAGACTCAAGCCGCGTTCTTTCGAAATTATTTCGAAAGAACGCGGCTTTTCTTTCGATGGCGGTAAACCTCGTTTCACGAGGAAGAACGCCTTCCTTCGAAAGTTCCTCTTTCGAAGGAAGGCGTTCTTCAATGTAAAGAGGCCGTCTTCGAAAGAGAGCATCCAGACTCGCTGGGTGCTCTCTTTCGAAAAAGTGGATTTCTCTTTCGAAAGATCCGCCTGCAGTCTAGACGCGATCTTTCGAAAGAGGCTCTTTCGAAAGATGCTTTCGAAAGCGC